TCCCACTTCATCTGCTCGGCCATCTCACATTGCCATTTTACCTTGCATATCCTTGTATTCTTTCCTGCCACCGTCCCATTGCACTTGGATTCTTATGTCGTTTTGTCCACCCAACTTCCCTTTCACACCAACATCATATTGCCGTTATTCTTGTGAACGTCCCCATGTCATTCGTCCACCCTGTTTACCTTGTTATTCTTGCCATTCTCCTTGTCACGTGCCATTGCCACTCCTCTCAGAGCTATTTCTTTCGCTGCCATTTCCTCCCAGCGCTGCCACCCCATGCATGGGCACCACAGACTCGCCATCCACCATCCATCATCCCAGCACCCATACCCCCCCCCAGCCTGCCTCTCCCTCTGCTCCCCAACTCATATTGCTTAGGACAGGGCTCATATATGCCTGTCCTCTCTCCCCCCTCCCCTGCCCTTTGATTGCTTTTCCCATGGCTGCCCTCTCACTTACCGCCATCCATTCCTCCCCGGATATACACCCCTCTTTTACTCCACTCAAGTCGTAATCCCAGTCATAGTTCAAGTGTCATGAAGTGAAGCCACTGGCATGACCCACCGCCATGATACCAGTGCCATGCAGTGTAATGGCTCATGGCTGGGAAGGTCATGGATCTACTCGTGTATCTTGCCAAGTGGTTTCATTCCCTTGCACTTTTGTTGGGGGGATGAAGGGGTGAAGCAGGATGAGAGGAGTGTGAAGCGGTTTGAAGGTGGGTCATTCTAGATGCCTGTTTCCTCTTCTCAACTACGCCACGCCCATTGTGTACCAGCTTCTCCCTCCCTCACTTCCCCACTGCCATTCTCCCACCTTCCTTTTCCCACCCTCCTTCTCCTACTGTCATTTTCTCACTCAGTTTCCCATGCCATTTACCCAATGTCGTTTTCCCACTGTCAGTTTCCGACTGTCACCTTACTTACCACTGTCATCCTCCCACTGTCTTTTTGCCGTTTCCATTTGTCCACACACATTTCTCCTGCCTCACTTCAAGAATCGCCTCCCTCTTTCTCATGTCATCATGACGTCATCATCCCACTGCCATGTTCCGCCCACTATCACACTGCCATGCTCCCACTAGTTGTTTTCCCTCTTCCCACTGTCATTCCTTCATTCTCATTCTGCAATTTTCCCATTTTTCTTTTTTCTCATTCTACACATGCCTTACCTGATGCTGTTTGCTCTGTATGAATGATGTGAATGTACCCATGTCTGCACTGCATGAGATGCTTCTTTGCTCGTCCGCTCTCATTCCCCCGCAGTCATCTTCTTCGCTTGGTCTTGCTCGTTCATCATCGCTCTCTCATGAATACATTGTAATGTTCCCACTGTCAAAGTGGTTGAAAGGGTGGGACTAGCAGGGGAGGAAGGTGGAAACGGTTCATGCAGGAGGGGTTGAAATGGGGGGAGAGAATATGAGCGGGAAAGGGGGAAAGGGCGTGATGAGGCCGATACAGGTGTCCTATCCTCCCGTTGTCATTCCCCATTGGCCATGGGAAGCTTACAGAGTCAATCCCATCCCATGTACTTTCAGCTTCCCGTCGCCATTCTTGGGTTATCAGCTCTCCAGTGGCCTTCATTTCCGCTATCCACTTCCCATTCTGCCATTTTTCCTATCCACTTCTTGCTGTAATATCTTCTGCCAGCTTCCAGTTGCCATGCTCTTCACATCGCCTCTCCACTTTTGAGCTGCCCAATCAGCTTGCCATTGCCACCTCTCTTATAAAGTCTCCTCATTGTCACTTATCCAGCCACTTTGATTGCTCTGCTCAGGGAGTGGGGGATGGGATGAGGTGATAAGAGTGTGGAATGGGATGAGGCGATATGAGTATAGATGGGTTGAGGTGATGTGGATTTGGGATGAGATGAAGGTCCCCACAATCGCATTGCTGCTGTGGTGCCGGGGAGGACACATGTCACGGCACCATGGCAAGGGGAAAAACTTCATGCTTTACATCTCGCTTTCCATTCTCATTTTTGTAACCTATTCTCGTTACCATTTTTTACTCTGCATCGCATCCCATCCCACATTGTCCTTTTCTCCGGTCAGCTTGCCATTTCCAAATTTGCCATTGCAACTGTTCAGCCAGTCTCTTCACATGTCATTCAATATTTTCATAGCCATGTTTCCTTTTCCGTTGCCATTTTCCAGGCAACTTCCCCTATCCGTTTGTTCCGTTTTTCCATTCCACATTTTGTTGTCGTTTGTCCTGCTGCCAACTTCCCAAGGCCATTTTCAAGTTAACTTCTCCAGTGCTTTCGTTTTTACGCAATGTCACATCATCTTCCCAGCTGCATGCCACCCTCCATTCTGAATCTCAGGCTCGTCTATATTGCCATTTGTCAAGCCAACTTCCAATCGCCACTTTTTCAAAGCATCTTCCAGTTTCCTACAGCCCTGTTTCAGTCAGCTTCTCATTGTCATTCGTCTTGTGAAACCCCCCCCATTGTCATTTGTCTAGCCAGCTTCCCATTGCCATGTTCCTAACTTCCTAGTCAATATGCCTCTGCCATGTGCTCCTCTCCTCGTAGCGCTGCCACCCCATGCATGGGCAGCACACACTCGCCCATCCACCTGTGTGCATCATCCCAGTAGCCACCTCTCCTCCCCCAGCCCTTCTATTGCCTGCATCGCTGCCTGCCATGCCGTTCTGCCATGCCTGCCATGACGTTCTATCACATGATACACGTCCGAGTCATTTTTCAATGCCACCTTGCCACCATTAACTGTTGCCCTTGGCATTTTCCCACTCGAGGTAGCACTTGGTTCTCTACTCATCCTCTCATTCGCTAAGACTTCTCTTATAGCCATTCCCAGTCAACCTGCATTGCTGTTCATCCTGCCAACTTCCCATGGACATGTGTCAACACAGATTCCCACATTCAATTCTCCAGGCAACTCTTCATCGCCATTGCCACGCCTCTCAGTCCCTTGCATGCCTGCCATGCCTGCCATGCCTACCATGCCTGCCATGCCTGCTAACCAACTAGCATTACCCGGCACTGTACATGTCACCACGCGTGCCCATGAGCCTGCCCAAGTGTGAGCATGCTTGGGTACACAAGGCGCTATGGCTGCAAGTTTGGACCAATGGAGAAGGGGGCAGGCAACTGGTGTGGGCTCGAGACTGGACTGGCTTGCCAGTTCACTCAATGTGACACTGTCAGTTTTTCTTGTTCAATTCCAATGGTTTCCTTGCGAAGTCTGTGTTTTCAGCATTGCTTCTTTGCAGTCCCCTTCCCTGGCATTTGCTGAGTCTTCTCATACTGCCACCTTGGAAGGAGAGAAGAGAAGGGCAAGGAGAGAAGAGAAGGGCAAGGAGATTGGTCACATAGTTCACACGGGAAAGGGATGTGTACAGAACCTGTTTGTTCATGCTTAATATTTCTTCTCTCCTGGAATGCCTGTATTTAGTTCATGGATAGGAATGGCATTCGGGTCGAGAAACAGCTGAACCATCCTCGTCGATGATCACTCCCCTGAGAGTTGAAATGTTGTGAAATGACATGTGCTTGATTGATGCAATTTGGAGGACGAATTGCTTTAACCCTAGCTGTCGGAACTGAAATGAACTTTGCTCAAGAATGGGACGTACTGGTGATAAATGAACATTCTATGGCTCGATAAGAACTTACATGGTGTACCACATAACAGCGGGCTTGGTAGCAATATAGAGACTCAAAATCATTATTAATTTCAAAGCATGTCAATATCTGTTCGTCTTGGATAATAAATCATATTGCTGGATGCTTATAGACGCAATATCTGTGTAACCATATATATCTCACTGTTTATAACTTAAACGAATCTGCACATAGAAGCATCCGTTATTCTCCTTCCCATTCCTACCTTGGGAGCTGGCTGGACGAGCATCTTGGAAGAGGAACCCTAGTTCCTCGAGACTAATATCCTTCCTGAGCACTCAGAGACCTCCTGAGCTGCTCCAGACCGCCCGATTGCTGGGCGAACACTGTATTCCGTCGTTTGGTACGCGCCACGTCGTAGTGCGGTCCGTTCGGGCCTCCGTCTCATTCGCGTCCGCTGATTGCTCGTAGGTAGTTTGTTCTTCCCGTTCGTTGACGTTGACGGAACAAAACTCTAGCCATGGCAGTCTCTAGCGTAGTTTCGATCGGAGAATACACCCATAGGAGCCCCACATTCAGTCAACCGGGAAGTGCGTCGTGTTTCCGCAGACAAATTGCCGGTTCAGGAGCGGCGAGCTTGACGGAAGGACGACTCGACTTAATTTTGGGCAGCAAAAAGGCTAGAATTTCGCCGCCCAAAACCGGGCTGGGCTGGGCCCTTCGCTTGGAGCTGAGAAATCGGGTTGCATGCCATTGGCTGCCAGACCGGGTCCCTCTAGGAGGTCAGGGAATTCGGCCAGTGTTAGCAGCCTCGAGCATACCTTAGATTTGACACCACACCCACAGGAACCCTACATTCCGTCAACGAGAATCAGTGCCTTGCTTTTGCAGACGTATAACTGGTTCATACTCAAGCAGCGGCGAGCTTGGTGGAAGTGCGATCCGAATTCAGTTTGGGCAGCCAAAACGCTGAGATATTGCTGCCCAAAATCGACTTGGTCCTAGATGAACGAGCTGTGACAATCTCGTCCGGCTTTGCCGAACCTCGAGGCTATGCTTGGAGCATTCGATTCGGATAGCTTGCCATTGGCTGCTCAACCCCTCCGTTCTTTCTCCTCCAATCACAACACAGACCACGCCTTTCCCGGGATGAACTACTTTCGCTATGGGCAGCAGACCTGCTTTCCTTTGTCTACCCACCACCGTCCCTTCCCTCCACCCGAGCTCCATCCACCTTTCCGCCTTGGAGTTGTCGTGCATTCCCAACAATACAAAGCCACTCGTTGTTCTCATTCATTCCACCACACCCGTTCGAGTTATTACTTGCTTCTGACGGCTATCGCCTGGTTTAACTCCCGGTTCTCCATTCTTGGAAATTCCTTGTTGCTTAGACTCTTGTTCGTACCATGGCCGCGCGGAACGCCTCAGCTTTCCAGTTCACGATCTCCTCAATCGACCACGAATTCTGGAAGGACTTCAGCAAGGCGGATGGCACGTGGCTGTACGCGCCGCTGACGTCCTTGGGCCTAGATCACGAGTTCTGGAAGGATTTCTCCGAGGAAGACTGCACCTGGCTGTCTGGCCCATTGGGCTTCTCGATGGGCAAAGTTTAGTTGATTGATCATGCGTTTTGGGAGGACTACAGCGAGGAGGAGCAGACGGGCTGTACGTCCCCGGGATCCGTTTCTGTGAACCTGTTGCGACCCTCACGCTCGGAGCTGCAGCTGCTGCCAGCAGCACGTCAACAAATGGCTGCAGCAGCTCTAGCGTGGCCTGCAGCAGCACCAGCGGGAGCAGCATCATCAGTGGCAGCAGCAGCACCAGCGGCAGCAGCATCATCAGTGGCAGCAGCAGCACCAGCGGCAGCAGCATCATCAGTGACAGCAGCAGCACCAGCGGCAGCAGCATCATCAGTGGCAGCAGCAGCACCAGTGGCAGCAGCATCATCAGTGGCAGCAGCAGCACCAGCGGCAGCAGTAGCATTAGCAGCCACAGCGCCGGCAGCAGCAGCTTCAAGCGCACCAACAGTGCTTTGATGTGCAAGAGGCAGCAGTAGCGGCTGCACGCCGTTGCGGTGCGCGTGAGGCAGTTGAACGAGGACGAGCAGAGCACTGCGTGCTCCCCCCGTGCGTCGCTGGGCTTCTCCCCGCTGCGACCCACCAAGCCCGTGAGTCACCCGCGCAGCAACACTTCCACGTCCACGCACATCATGGGTGCACGCGCTGCTGCCACCACCGTTGCTGTCACCTCCGCTACTGCGCAGATCGCTGCTGTCACCAGCGCTGCAGTTAAGACTGCTTCCGTGAAAAGCGTTGCTGTGTAAAGCGTTCCTGTGAAGGTCGCAGTTTCAGCAGCCAAGGGAACGCGTGCATCTGCAGCTGCACCAGCCAAGGCTGCTGCTGCTAGAAGCGTTGCTGCTAAGCCTGCAGCTACAGCAGCTAAAGGAGCGCCAGCCAAGGCCACTCATGTGACGCCTGCTGCTGCTAAGAAGGTTGTTGTTGAGAGCAGCCCAGTAGGGTCGATGGCAACAAAAGCAGCAGCAGAGAAGGTGAGGGAGCAGGGCAATGGGAGGGCAGCACATACGGCGGTGCGTGCAGCAGCAGGGAAGGCGGCGTTGGGAGGGGTAGAGGCAGCAGGAGGGCGAGCAGGAGGTGCGGGGTGGGGTTCAGGGCGTGGTGGCGGTGGTGCGAGTGGCATCCGTGAGCCTGGGCAGAGCAGGGCAGCGACACGGCTGCAGCAGCTAAGGGAGTGCAGGCTGCGCCTCACAGCACTCGTAAATCAGCTGCTCCAGCAGCAGCAGTGCCCGCCACTCGCATTCCAAAGCCACGCACAGCAGCACCCCTGGGAAGAAGTGAACGCCGCACACTGAAGCAGTAGCAATAGAAGCAGCCATGGCAGCACGGTGAAGCAGCATCAGACTTTGTAGTATTAGCAGCAATTGAAGGCAGCAGATCCTGAGGCATTCTGATAGCGTGTGGAGGGTGGCGTGGTGCGGGTGGGATGAGCATGGCTGGTGGGGGCTGGTGGCAGGCGCATGGCGGGACTTACCCCTTTTTGCACCCTGCTTGCAGGGTGTTGTGGGAGAGATGGCAGGAGAGGTGGAGGCATGTGGTCAGCTGGCTGGAGGGTGGTCTATGGGCACGCTGGTGGCTGCGCATGGCGATGAATCTGCTGCAAATCATTTGCTTAGCTTGGTGATATTCAGTTAAGATTCCTTGTGTAATTAGCATCTTGTAACTATTTATATTGCATAGATCCTATGTGGTTTCATTCCCTTGTGTTAGCTGGTGTTTGTGGAATGGAGGCGTGAAGCATGAGGAGGGGAGTGTGGAATGGTGTGAAGTTGGGTCATTGTGGTTGTCTCTCCCCCTCTTGCATTTTGCCCCTCCTGCCCCTCATATGTTTCCTAATGCTTATCATAAACTATCTTCCCACCGTCATTTCCCCATTGCCGCTTCTCCCACTGTCAGTTTCCCATTGCTTTTGCACAGCCACTTTACTCTTTGCTATCGTCCATGATTCTCCCATTGCTTTGCGCCCATTCTCATCGTGCAACTGTCAGCCTCCCATTGCCATGCTTCTACTCACATCATGCAACTGTTATCCTCCCATTGCCATGCTTCTGCTCACATCATGAACTGTCAGCCTCCCATTGCCATATTTCCACAACCATATTTACATTGTCATGATCCCATGCTCATCCCCCCATCATAATTTTTTCCACGGCTCAAATGCCCCATGCCATCTTACCAATGTCACTTCCTGCCATTATTTCTCATGATCAGTCTTTATTTGTGTTGATCTTTCCCTATTATTATTGGTCTTCATCTGCACAAGTTCTCATTTGTTTACAAACCTCCTTCAGTCTTATGTTACCGTTATTGTCAAATTCCTTATGTTACTTCGTTTCTCCCATTGCAGATCTTTTTATAAAAATTCTCCTAATGTCAGGTTCCCCACTGTCTGGATCGGTTCCCCACTGTCTGGTTCGGTTCCCCACTGTCTGGTTCGGTTCCTCACTGTCTGGTTCGGTTCCCCACTGTCTGGTTCGGTTCCCCACTGTCTGGTTCGGTTCCCCACTGCCTGGTTCGGTTCCCCACTGTCTGGTTCCGTTCCCCACTGTCTGGTTCGGTTCCCCACTGTCTGGTTCGGTTCCCCACTGTCTGGTTCCGTTCCCCACTGTCTGGTTCTGTTCCTCACTGTCTGGTTCCGTTCCCCACTGTCTGGTTCCGTTCCCCACTGTCTGGTTCCGTTCCCCACTGTCTGGTTCCGTTCCCCACTGCCTGGTTCCGTTCCCCACTATCTGGTTCCGTTCCCCACTGTCTGGTTCCGTTCCCCACTGTCTGGTTCCGTTCCCCACTGTCTGGTTCCGTTCCCCACTGTCTGGTTCCGTTCCTCACTGTCTGGTTCCGTTCCCCACTGTCTGGTTCCGTTCCCCACTGTCTGGTTCCGTTCCCCGCTGTCTGGTTCCGTTCCCCACTGTCTGGTTCCGTTCCCCACTGTCTGGTTTTCCACTACCATTGATTATGATCCACACTTCTCCGACCTTGCATGTGAGCTGCCCCAGCCCAGGGAAACGCCATCCTCTCTCCTCGCTTCTTCCCCCATCAATCTCCCCATCACGATCGTTTTCTCTGCCATGCAGTCTGGCATGTCAACTCATGCCAGCTGCCTGCACATGACTACTTGTTGGTGTAAGGGCCTAATAAACTCAAGCTATTAAGAATTTATCAAACTTAAAACCTCTCCTCGAGGTCACCTCCAAGGGTCCTTGGGTGCCTGGTACAAGACCAGCCCCTATCCTCGGGTCCGAGTTTGTAGAGAGAGGGATCAAGAGGGACTTAGTCAAAACAGCAAGAGTACCTTGAACGTCGCGCAGCGTATCGTGCAGACCGTCGATCGGATTAAGCTGAGAATTTCCTATATCGAAGCTCGCTCCAAAAGCTTTAATATGAACCAAGTTGCCTCGCGAAAAGTTCTGCCATTACGGAGTTATGGCTCGGACAGCGTTTGCCTAGTGTTGAAGTGCTAGCGTACTGACTCGGGTAGCATTCCGCCGTCGCACCGCGTAGAAACGAAATTCCAGGAAGGAAGGAATCCGCTTGAATCAATTTCACTATATTCAGGAACAAACAGAGAAGGAATACTGTATTACCCCGGATATAAGCGCACCTGCGCTTATAATAAAACAGTGTTTTTTTGGGGGGTGCGCTTATAATTGAGTAAAAATTATAAGCGCATGCGCTTATAATATAACAAATACAAATATATATTTCAATGCACCAAATTGTACATCTCATCCTTCAGATTTCAATCGAATCGAAATTGTAGAAAGTCACATGTCAAAATCGCGCGCGGGCGATTCTTCGCGAGCGCCCAGAGGCAAAATACAGTGTAACACCTCACTTTGAGGGCGTGCCAGCTCGTGCTGACTGGACGCGCAGGATGTGAGAGGTCTTCGAAAGTCAATGTAAGCGAAAATGGGTTGTGGCCTCGCTGCAAAACTGAGATTCGTTACCGTTTTAATGAAGAATTATAAATAAAATTACACATGCGCTTATAATATATCAGGGTTTTATAAGGGGTGCGCTTATAATTGAGGATCGGCCATAAGCGCATTGCTCCAGATACAAGCGCATGCGCTTTTAATAGGCCTGCGCTTATATCCGGGGCCATACGGTAAATAGCTCTAGCTAGCAAGGACCTTGGGAATCAACCTGGGAACAACCAGGGATGATCCCAAATAATTCCAAGCAACAGAACCAACCTGGCTGGACAAAACAGCAGGTGGTAGGTTGGTAAACAACGTCTGGTTCTGTTTTTCCAACCTGGGAAAACAACAACCAGGTTCAGGTCCTAAAAACAGAACCTGTTTTGTCTTTGCCCAACCAGCCAAATGCTGGTTCCGCTGGTTTTCCCTGGCCCTGTAGCGTGCAGATACAGACAAACAACATCCAACCTTCACCTAAATTGTACCTCTATAGTGCCTGCCCTACTACACTATAGTCAACCAAACAAAACAGTACAATTTCGAGTTGGATAGAACTGAATCTGTGCAATCAAGTAAGTTGAACCACAAAGCTTCCATCTTGGGTTCCTTTGCGAGCTCGTCCTTTCTGCTTATACTGTTCATAGCGCGTACAATGTTGTGCCGAAGCGCACAATGCGCGAGTACCTGCAAATGCTTCAAGCGAAAATTGCGAAAGCAAAGAAACTCACGAACATTCCATTCACACACAAATGTATTCGCACACGCATACTCGTACAAACAGACGGCAGGATGTCGTGCAATGTGAATTTGCATCCAACACACTCCCCCTCAGCCTGCCGGCTGCATCCCCATCATTCCATACTAGTTCATGCTCATTCCACTCATGCGCACACAACGCCAATGAGGCTCATCCGCAAGCCTCTTGGTGAGGAAGTCTGCTGGCTGCTGGTGAGTCTTGATGTAGATCGGATTCACCGTCCCCCTTTTCACCTCCTTACGCAGCCAGTGCCACTTGATACGCATATGCTTGTTCAGCCCATGAAGTGTCAGAACATTGTAGCTTATGCTGTTGTGTAGGCTATAGTGGGGTATCCCATAGGGGGTACAACCAATTAGGGTTTCATATTTGTACTCACTTCATTTCATAGTTCACCCATTCTTGTTCAAATCTTCTCATGGTATCGAGCAGGTTCCCCCTTGGGAACTGTGCTTAGGGCCCACCACATCGATTTTTTTTTTTTTTTTCCTGCCCGAAGCGCGCTCAGCCCGAGTCGCGCTCCGGGCCCTCACTTCGTCGAGCCGCCCTAGCGGCCCTTCACTGCGGCCCCGCCACCCGTCTCCGCTGCCCCGCCGCCCGTCTTCGCGGCCCCGCCGCCTCTCTCCTAGCGGCCCCGCCGCCCTACCTAGCGGCCCCGCCGCCCTACCTCGCGGCCTCGCCGCCCCATTGCGCGGCCCCGCCGCCCTACCTAGCGGCCCCGCCGCCCCATCGCGGCCCCGCCGCCCCATCGCGCGGCCCCGCCGCCCTACCTAACGGCCCCGCCGCCCTACCTAGCGGCACCGCCGCCCTTCCTCGCGGCCCCGCCGCCCCATCGCGCGGCCCCGCCGCCCTACCTAGCGGCCCCGCCACCTTACCTGCGGCCCCGCCACCTTACCTGCGGCCCCGCCCTTACCTGCGGCCCCGCCGCCCTCTGCTGCGGCCCCGCCACCTTACCTGCGGCCCCGCCCTTACCTGCGGCCCCGCCGCCCTCTGCTGCGGCCCCGCCACCTTACCTGCGGCCCCGCCACCTTACCTGCGGCCCCGCCACCTTACCTGCGGCCCCGCCGCCCTCTGCTGCGGCCCCGCCACCCTATCTGCGGCCCCGCCACCCTACCCGCGGCCACGCCGCCCTTACCAGCGGCCCCGCCGCCCTTACCTGCGGCCCCGTCACCTGCTGCCCAGCCGTGCCGCCCTGCAGCAGCACAGCCGAGCCGCCCAGCAGCCGAGCCGCCGAGCCGCCCAGCAGCCGAGCCGCCCAGCAGCCGAGCCGCCGAGCCGCCCAGCAGCCGAGCCGCCCAGCAGCCGAGCCGCCCAGCAGCAGAGCCGCCCAGCGGCCGCGCCGCCCAGCAGCCGAGCCGCCCAGCAGCCGAGCCGCCCAGCAGCGGGGCCGCCGAGCCGCCGGGCCGCCCAGCAGCTGAGCCGCCGAGCCGCCGCACCGCCTTCCTTCAGGGCCGCCCGACCTGCCCAGTCTGGTGAGCACAGCGCCTTTTCACTGCACTGTCCTCACCCTACTGTTTGCGCTGCTAGTCGTCTAGGGTCATGGCTACCCCTAGTGTTCTCGCCTTTGACGCTGAGGGTAGGGCCATTGACTTTGAGGTCTGGGTGGATGATCTGCAGCTGT